AGAACAGTTTGGCTTAGAAGGAATCTTAAAGCTCATCCAGTTCCAACCCCTGCCACAGACAGGGACACCTTTCACTACACCAGGTCTCTAGTGTGGTGACAAGGCAGGTCTGAGGTCAAACGGGGAGGTCTGGTCTGCTGATGGTGACCATCAGGCACAGTGATACCAGGGCAGGTCCGTAAGAACAAGGCAGGTGTGAGATCAAGCTGGACAGTCAGCCATGGGTTGGAGTCCACATCTGTGGGGGTCATGCCCAGGCACAGGAATGACTGTTGCTGGGCTGGACACCAGTACCTCTATAGTGTGGCTCAGGCAGGACAGAAGGGCCAGGTTTGAGCTGAAATGGAGATCCTGTGCCCATGGGAAGAAGGTTTGTGTAAAGGCTCTAGGACAGACTGGTGAGGGCCATTAAGATACACTGGTACACTCAGGACCCTGATACTGACACTGGATGCTCATGTTTAGTCTCTGCTCTTCCTGTGTTTGTCCTCTGGCTATTGTATGAAAATGTCCTTCCCATGTGAGAATTACGTCACTGTCACTGATCTCCATTTCTAAAATGTTGTGAGCTCTGAGGCTCAGATTCTAACTCAGATATGGATATGGTTAAATAGTTTTAGGGAAATTAAAAAGATACCAAGGAAGGCCAGAAAGCATGACACAACATGTGCAGTGGGATCACACACCATCTAGAAATACAAACTAGTGAATGAACTTTGTTCAGGGCAAAACACAAGTCCCTTCTGCAGGTCACCTTTAGTCAGAAAACAAAGATCTCCTCAGCTTATCCAAACAAGAAGACAGTGGGGCCTGTTGCATCTTACCCTCAAAACCACTGACAATGTCCAAACTTGCCTTCTTTCCAGTTTCTCTTCTAGGAAACTGTTAATTCCTCACAGCTAGAAAGACCCCCACCAGCCAGCATATTGCTGTAGAAGGCTAGTGGCAACTGTCTTTTATAAAGAACAAGCACTAACCTCTTGTCTGGTCTGAGCAATGGCACAGATAACACCTTCAAACAAGAACAAAGACAATTCAATTACAAGAAAAAAAGTGAAATGATTAAGTTACTGACAACAGCACTATGAGTAAAACCAATGCCTTTCCAGTTTGTACTTCCCTCCTAACTTGCTAACAACAGTTCTTGGTCAGTACAGTGGACAAAGAGAAGTTAGGTCCCTGAAGCCTTGGAGGCGTACTAAGGGAGTGAGAACATGGTAAAGACAAGCTCCTATCAGGCCAGATTCTCATTATGTGATCCAGCCTGAATAAGTCACTGATGAGAATGGTTCTGAGCAACTGTCTTCCTGGCCACAGATTCCACCTTGTCCAGTTAGAGGCAGTGGTCCTTTGAGCACAGACTGTCATTTTCTGCCAGCCCAAAGGAGAGACATGAACACCAGTGTCTTGGAGGCAGTGTCAATGTCTTTCTCCTGTATTTTCACCAGGTTCATCTGTGTTACACAAACAAAAATCTGGAATTGGACTGAGGACAAGACAGCCTTGGACATGCATCCCCATGTTCTAATACGTTTTTTTCTCCTTTCCTGCCAGTTGTGCCAGTGCCCTAGCTTGCAGAGCCATTAATGTGAACTGGATCAGGAAACAGTGCCAAAGTTTAAAACCAAAATTCCATTTAACAAGGTTTAAGGTGAAGTGGCCAATGTACAAATGCAGGTGTTGGAAACAGAAGAATTCCAATGAAATACAGGATGTAATCCAGTACATACCAATGGACAGCATCTTTATTATTGTGCATCACCCATGGAAAGCCAGTAGTATTTTTCATGGAATAATCATACTTTAAGCAGCTTCCTCAAGTTCTGGATGAATTTGTTCTCTCAGCCAATTATTCTGATCTGGTTTTCCTACATTGATTTACAGCTTATGTATAATGCTGGCATTTTAGCTATTCAATTTCTTCTTCATTTTCACTATTCTTCCCACCTCTGGTAAGCCTGCGTGCTGCAGCAACAACCAGAAATGGAAGTTTTGTGGCTTCACTTTCTCTCCAGTTGTGTGGCTTACTTGCATAAAAGTGGTTTTATATGTGCCAATTTTACAAGAGAAATCACTTTACGTAAAATTCACCAAAACGACTTGATGCCACAGCATCAGTTTCATTCATGTATCTGCCACTGCTGCTGTTACTTGACTCATGAAGGTGAATGTGTGCGCAGTTTACTATGCACATTTACACCTTTGCAGATCAGAACACTGAATGTCCCTAAGCAAAAGGCAAAAAAAGAGTCACTTTGCCAAGTAGTCATAAACTGTTAAGATCCAAGTGTCAATTTTGTGGCACTTCACAAATCTGTGTTATGCAAAGCCCTCCTAAATGCTGTTTGGATCCTTGACAGAACTTCTGGTCAGGGTACTGCCCAAACTGGACTTCACAGAAATATTCCAGCACATACCTGATTAACAACTTTGATTAACAACTTTGTGCACTGCGTTGCTTCCTTAGGAGAGCAATGCAGCAAAGCTCTCCCTGCAGCTGCACAGCAGCTTTTACCCCTTCTTACATTTCTTATCACAGAGGTGCTCCCAACAACACTGACGAGCTTTGGCCAGTGGTGGGTCCCTTACCAGCCATCTAGAACTGGCTCCATCTGACAGGGGGAAGCTCCTGATGCCTTCCTACAGAAGCCAACTCTGCAGCTTCCCAGCTACCAGAACCTTGCCACATAAACCCAATATACACCACAACCAATACCCAATATACCATTACTGATCACACACACATTTGTGCTGTGTTAGGTTCAGCTCAGTGTATCACCAAGTTGCAATACAGATCCAGACAAAATTCTCTAGGATACAAGTAGCAAAGTCTCTTGTACTGGTGTGAGCAGGATGAGTGGCCTGCCCACCTTTTTTATGACACTCTTGGCCTCATTTGCTGCTCAGAGTGCTGAAATCTAACAGCTGTAGCAACTGCTACAATCTGAAATCAAGTTCGCTCCATTAACACTCTTTCACACTCCCCCTGTGGCATCATGTCATTAACACAGATTATAAGCAATCTGGGGCAGCAGATGTCTCTTTACTACTGTCTCTGTGTGAAGGCAGTTAGCACAAAAGAGCCCTGGTGAAGATGCTGGTTACAAACAGTAATTAGCTAGCTGCATTACTAAACTAAACCAGTGTAACAATGCATACATGCATTACAATTAGTAAAAAAATCAAACAAATGAATGCAAAGGCTGAGGATTCTTTAAAAACAATCAATATTATCTTGGAAGTAATACAGAAAATAGCCAACCTTCAGAATAAAAAAAAAGCAAAACTTTGCAACCAATGACAGACTAGAAAGATGCAGATAATACCATCATGTTAGAATGTACTTTACCATAAAGTACAATGGGACAAAAACCTTAGCCCAAGCCCCACACTTGAAAAACACTAATACAGCAAATACCGGATGGAAGTAAGATACGATATACTGAAACTGTGAGATCAAGAGGAACAACCTTGAGAGCCAATAAATCAGCATTGTGACGAGTGACTATTAATCCAGTCAGATCCGTCGTTATCTCAACCCCTCTTGCCCCACGTTGGGCGCCAAAAAGAACTGTCATGGTTTAAACCCAGTCAGGCAACTTGTTCACTCACTCCCAGTGAGTGGTGCTGGGCTGACAACAATCGAGGCCCCCCCCCCCCCCACCGGGGCTCTCCCCTTCCCTGCTCCTGGAGGAACGGAGAGGAGGATCGAAAGAGTGCAACTCCTACGGGTTGAGACAAGAACAGTCCAGCAACCAATGTACACAAATCACCACCACTACTACCAATGACAACAATGATAAGGGAAAATAACAAGGGAAGAGAATACGATACCACCGGCCAAGAAAAGAGTCCCACCCCGAAGCCCGTGTCCTTCCGGGTAACTCCCAGTTACCCCCCCACCCCGGGCATGACGTGCTGTGGTATGGAATACCTCCCTGGCTAGCCCGGGTCAGGCGCCCCATCTCTGCTTCCTCACAGCTTCCCCTCCTCCCTGGCAGAGCATGAGCCTCACAAAGTCCTTGGTCAGGATAAACATCACTTCGCAACAACCAAAAACATCGGCTTCACCAACACTGTTCCCAGGCTGGAAGTCAAAACACAGCACTGCACCAGCTACCACAAAGGAAAAACATGACTGCTACTGCTGAACCCAGGACACCTCTTTTAGACCATTAGGAATACCCTTATTGAAATCAGCCATTCTAGGTAACTTTTGCTCAGGAGTACAACAGAAACTGCCTAAGGAGATGTCAAATCTACTCAAATAATGTTCACAGATCTTGGAATAGCACTGTAATTTTGGCGATGTATTTGTGTATACATAGTGAACCTAAAAGTGTCCAGTTTGATAATCAAATTTTTAAATGCATTTTGAAAAGATGGAGCAAAGGCAGCCCACAAATGCAGGTTAAATGACAGGGAGAACTAAAAAATGAGAAATTTTAAAATGTTCACTTTATTTAATAAAGATAAGATTGAAGGGTAATGTGTTTATTTTAATTACTGAGAAATACCTTAGTCAAATACAGGTTATCAGACTCACTGCAAAATGAACTAGATTAAACACAGGAAGCTGAAACAGAACAGTGATGGATTTTGTTTTCATCATAAACTCTATGAAGGCAAAAGTCATTACACTGGGATTTTCCTCAAGTAACAAATATCCAAGATGAATAATTAAAATAAGACCTTGCTTGCTGATAGAACCTAGACCAAAGTTCACATGGATTTTAAGTTCCTTCACAGATTAGACTCTATTACAAATCAATATTATTTAAGGAATAATAGGAAAGAAGCCACACACTGAAGCGTTGTGGAATTTTTTTTTTGTGAAACGGTCTAGATTTAACTTTCTGGGGGAGGGAGGAGAGAGTTCAACAATTCGTATTATAGTGTCGTACAGGGAAAAGCCCCAAACTCACACTGAAACTCCTTTCCTTACAGCCATGTTTGGTTCAGCTCATTCTGAATCTGATTTTCAGACTAGGAATGCTATCTGTAGGTGGTCTGGATTTAGCTGCAATTCACCTTTCTGGTTTTGAAGGTCTGAATTGCATCCATGGACATATTAACAAGCCCTCCAAAGACTATGAAATGAGCATGGGATGACCAACCCTGATGTAGACACCTATGCAACAGTCACCAGTGTTCAGTCTGATAAATTCTGCCTTCGGTATCTGTACCATAACCAAGACGCTACCAGAAACCTGCTCACTTTTTTGGGCCTCAAAAAAGATCCACTGCAGTTTACTGATGCCAGGAAAGATACTTTATCTCAAATATTTAAATAATAAAATAAAATTCTACACTCACTAGTGTGCAAAATTGTTCTGTCCACAAGGAGAGCAGCCAAGGAACTGATGAATCATCACCTCGATAGAGCTGCCTCAACCATGAATGTGTTTGCCTTCATGGAGTTTCTTCCTTCCCTACTGTCTATGCATCTCCATCTTCTAGCATCCTACAGCATATCAATACAAAGGAGAAGAACTGAAGACATAGTGGCTGAATAAAACAAAATAAATCCATACAGCAGCTGTACAGCAGGCCTGAAGTATTCCTTCTAGGAAGCCAGATTCTGGCCCAAGTATCCCAAACTCCAGTGTGAAGTTATCTGTTCTGTCATCCAGGAGATCCAAGAACCACAAGAAATAGTCTAAGACCAAGCTTTAGGCACAAAACTCTGTATTGTAAGAATGAAAAAAAAAAAAAAATTATCATAAATGGAGCATAAATTTGAAAGACATTTTATGTGTAAGAAAGAAGGAAATGAAGGTAAATATCATAGGGCAGGAACTGTATGTGCAAGCACATAATGTAAAGAAACCAAATAATAGATAAAGTGATCTCTTCAGGTGCATGCAGATTTGAGAAAAATGTCTACTGGGAGTTTGCTAATAGCATCAGGTTTATATTCATATAACAGTATTAGCAGGTATTAAAAGATGAATAATGCTACTGAGAATTATGAAAACCCTTAACTTCCCAGCCACAGACTGGAAAAGAAGACGACAGTTACAATGGCTGGGCCTCAGGAGCCACACAGGGAATAACCAACAACCTCGCACAGAATAATCCCAAAACCAGCAGAAAGATGTGCACTTTAAATTTTTGGTTTGCTAAGGAAGATTTTATTGTAACTCTGACCATAAAACCAACCCAACACACAAGCCTCCATTTGAATGTTTCAGTTTAAATTAATTGGAAGGATGAATAAAACAGGCCTGTATCCAAGCTGCTCACTTATAAAAGGAAGAAATTCTGACAAATTAAGAGATGAATGTAACTAGTCAGACTTATGAGCTGAATAAGAATGGACCTTGGCATTTCTTTAAGGCAAAGCTGCTAAAGCTGCTTTTTCAGCATTGGCAGCAGCAGAGTAATTCAGGAAGTGTATCCTAGGCTGTGCTCCTGTCTGCAGGTCTGACATGCATCCTTCTTCAATTCTTGGAGATGCTGCACTAGAACTGTAGTGCCAGTTATGACTGAACTGCTGGTAACCAGTCAGGGAAGGAATCACCTGCATCTCTGTAAGAGACCTTTACTTACCATGTCAGTCTTCTTTGTACTAGTGGTAAATGGTCAGATGCCACAGACTCAAAGACAAGCAGGATGCAAGTGACACACACAGCCCTTCTTGTCTTTTGCCACAACCTGCCTACATTATCAAGACAGCACAGAAGGTTCAGATCAGCTTGTGGATGAAAAACAGTCAAAGCAGGACCTGAGCAAGAGATTGGATATAATGTTAGCTAAATGAAAGTATTCTGGAAAGCTTTCTTTTACATATATGCTTCTTTTGCTGAAGGTTCATACAACTGGAGCAGTCAATGTGTAGTTTAGACATATTACCAAACTCCCAGACATAAGTGGCTTTAAAGAAAACTCCCATTAAATATTAGGGAAAAAAAGCCCAAACAGCAAAAAAACAAACCACCACCACCACCCCCCCCCCCGAAAAAACAACCCCCACTGTGAAGGCGTCAAGCACAGGAATAGGAATCACAGAGGCCGTGGGATATCTGGATATACTCAAAAACCAAACAAGCAAGGCACTGAGTAACTTGATTTAATGAGTTCTGCATGGAGTAAAGGTATTGGATCAGATGACTCTCAAGAGATTCTTCCAACCAAAATTATTCTGACCTTATTCTATTACTTCTTTCTTAAGCTATACTCTCAGATAACAGCAACAATGAATAAATTTCTCCTCAAGGATTCAGTCCTGTCCCACTGCATGATGACTTGGATTAACCAATCAGACATTAACTTTACAGAATACTGTAAAATAGTTCCTCAGCAGTGTGTTAACCACAAGAACATCAAACTGACCAAGTATCCTTTGCACTGGCTTCTATTTGGATAAACATCCAAATTCTAAATTGTGTGCACATAGAATATGCAAAAATCATCTGATGGTCCAGATTGTGAGAGACTCTCATAATCATCCCAATAGCACTATGGAACTTTGTCTATCAGACACTGCTTACACTTACTTGTACTTCAAAACATACATCTTTGATCTTGCCTTTTCCAACACAGATAGCAACCTGCACATTAAAATCAAGAACTGAACATAAAAGCCTTATCAAAGAAAAATATTCTGGGACATACACAATTATACTTGAGAGGAAGATAAATTAGTCACAAATAATATGCTACTGGAAAGCAGTTACTTGAGGCTGAAATCACTGAAAATTTAAGAAATTACAGGGCATTGTCCTATATGTAGTGATGCCCATCCACCCTGCATTCCCTCTCTCCTCCGCTGTTAGAGACCCTAAAAGGTGTGACTCCTGAAATCTTGAACTACGTACAGCGAGTGGAACATTTTAAATGTAATATTCCTGCTCCAGTTCCTTTCCTCTGAAATAGGGATAATCACACCATCACAGCTCAATTGAGTACCAAGAAGTTAATTGCTGTTTGTGAAGCATTCCGGTAGGATACTGATGAACAGCATAGCGACACCTGTGTGGAAGTTAGTAACTCCATTCAACGTGGTGTGTAAGTGGCATGTGGTGAATAAAGCCCACGGCAACACAGTAGAGGATGATTAAAAGCAATATTGACTGGTTCCCCCCTCAGCAGGCTCTCTCCGTCTTTCACACCGAGTGAAGCAAATTCCTATAGGAGAAACAGCCCACAACTACGTAACTGAAGCCTTTACCATCATGCTTACTGACAAACCCGAGGACACCTCCTCTCATCATGGCCCCTTAACATTACCTTTTATAATGTACGCACTAAGTTATCGTACAAGCGCGCGGCCTGCAGCACACAGCGCGGGACGTGCAGGCAGGCGCTAACTGCACATGAACGCCAAGCCACAGCGCTTCCCCTCAGCCACCGGAGGCCGGGTTTCTGCCCGCAGCTCTCCCGTTGCCGCCTGCCCTCGATGAGCGCTGCGAGCGCCGACGGACGGAGGACTGAAAAGCAGAACGAGCACCCACCAGCTCCCGCAAACCGCTGTGACCCCGCTCCCTCCCCGCACCTAGAGCATGGCGCCCGCCCCTCCCGCCGCCGCGGTGCCCGGGCCCGCCAGAACCGGGCTGCCCGGCCTGAGTCACCGCCGCCTCCCGCGGATCCGCCTCCCGCCGCGCCTTCCCAGCCGCCCGGGCACCGCCCGGCACACAGCAGCCGCGGCGGTTGCCAGGCTGAATAAGATAGAACATGAAAGGTGAAATAACAGGAGCGGCCACGCCCGGGGCTGCGGGGAATCTCGCTTAACCCTTCTCCGCCTGCGCCCGCGGTGACTCCGGCTCCAGGAGGGGCTGCTCCGCCAGCCGGCCCGGGGGGCGAGGGCAGCAGGGTAGCCGGGCACCGGTACGGCCGCCGATGCCCTTTGCACGGCACCTTCAGGGACACGGGGGGTCACGGGTTGGCTTCGGACACCCTTGGCACGGCACCCCAAGGAGCTCGGGGCACACGGGTGGAAGCTGCTGCTGTGGAAGAGGAAGGCACAGTGCCCTGCCCGCTCCTGCTGCAGTGGTGCCATTGCCCAGGAGTTACTGCTGCAGCACACCGCTGTCTCCCCAAAAGGGACCGGAGAATGGGAAGTCCCTGATGAGCCCGAACCCTTCTTCCCTGGGTGGCTGCGGGATGGAGCGTTCCTGGGCCGAGCCTGGGCCCGCTGGCCAGGGCCCCTGCCCGGCTGCCAGCTCTGAGCCTGCTCCCAGGCCTGCTCCGCAGCCAGGCCCGAGCTGGTCTGACAGGCTCAGGGCAGACGGGAAGGGAGAGGCCGCCTGCGGCTCAGGAATGTGCAGCCCTTATCTCTGGCTCCCCTGCAATCCTGGGGAGGGAATAACTCTCCGGAGTTTGCCTTTCTCTCGCTCTTACTCACCCTCTGCCCTGGGTGGAGCTTGATTCTCGCTGGCTTGGAGGTGCCAGTGAATCAGGCTGCAGGCACGTCCAGGGGAGCGGAGAGCCGGAGAGCACGACCCACCACCTGCCCTGGCTCACCTGGGAAGGTAGGAGAAGTGTAGGCACCTCCTGGGGTACCCCAATGGCCACGTGAGTTGGCGGGCAAGGGCTGGGGAGGCCCTGTCCTTGCTTCTCTGCGCAGGGCTGGGCGCTCGGGATCTGAGGCAGGGACTTCTTCAGGCAGTCGTGGGCAGGAGATGGCTGCTTCAAAGCAGAAAGGCACCATACTGGAGCAGGAGCTCTCAGCCATGCTGTGGCTGTCATGGGAGAATGGAGAGTCCCACGAGGCGGGATGGGCAAGGGGGAAAGGGGAACAGAATGCAGGCAGTGTGGATGGTGAGGGAAGAGACCTGTCAATCTTCAGGTAGCGTGATCAAAACTGCTTAGTGAACACCAGACTTTTGTCCCATCTCCTTTGGGGAAGCCCAAAAGTTGCCTATTTCAGAACTTATTCCTGTCTTCAGGAAGAGATCTTACAGCCTGACTCAGCTTCCTATGACAGAGCCTGATCTGGCCTTTTTTGATAAGAAACATGGTAGGGATATGTAGACAAGAGATTGGGACAAAGAGGACTTCACTGGTGGCGGTGCTGGAAGGGCCATGGTCTGCAGTAGGCAAAGAGCCAAGAAAGAGCTCCTGAGGCCCACTGCACCTTTCCTCGCTGTGGTGTATAGCATGGGTGCTTTCCTTGCAGGGGTGTGTAGCTGTCTGCTGACACGGCCTGCAAGCAGCGACACAGACATCCATGCACGTACATGCAAAAGGACAGACAGATGCGTGCAGACACATGCGTGCACAGGCACACGTGCATATTCTCACTTAGTTTTTTCCACAGATGTGAGCTTGTCTGGCAGGCCTTGGGTTTTGTGTGAGCATGGAGGAAGGGGAAGGTCTTGTGTTCCTAAATTGAGGTCAATAGAGGTCAATTATGGCTTGTGTCTGGCCTGAGGACCCAGGTTCACTGAAGTTCTCTATCTTCTAAAACAGTTAGAGGGGAGGAGGCACTTGTAAAGGGACAAAAGTGCCTATAGCATCCTTCTGCTGAGAACATCTACTTCATGGAAGTTTCAGTAAGCTTAGCTGTGATCGAGACAACTCTCAACAACACGCTAGCCCCAGCCCAGAGCAGTGCAGAGCATTGGCGGCCTGTGATGCCTTTCTGCAGCCTACAATACCATATGTTTTCACTAGAGGAGGACGCAAGAAAAGACAGCACGCCTTCACTCTTGCAAAACCACAGCAGGGCTGCGGTCTGGGGAGAAAGTTTTTTTCATCTTTGGCCTAACTCCCTTTTATGTGAGGGGCTGTATTTGAGAGTTTTATTTGCTGTCACCTGGCAGTGGAAATAGTAGTGTTCTGAGGAAAGCAAAGTTACACTCCTTGTGTGGTTGTAGGGAAAATTCAGTGTCAAAGGAAAAAGTGAAAATGTCACATCCCACAGCCTGGTATGATTGTGCCAGAGCAGAGTCATGGCTGAGAACAGACACCTTTGCTCTGTACATCATTTGTAAGGCAATCACAAGCTTTCCAAGCAACTGAAATTCACCTCCAAACCTTCCAGAATTGGACTTCTTTGTATTTTATGGTTAAATGGAATGCTTTTGGACTGCTTTGTAGAACCCATTTCACTGGATTTTTGTAGCCCTAATGAGGAAGAGGAGTTTCTGGAGTGCTTTTCTAAAATCAGGATGTGAGGGAAAGTAAAACTCAAGGGCAGCATGTAGTTCTTCTCCAAATTATACCTTACACTGTTGGACCTTTTCTTTAAGTTCTCTGTTTCAGACTTCTGCATACCTGGTACCTAATAAATAATAACCCAAGGAAAGGGACAGTTGGTGTAAGTGTTGCTGTCATAGACATGGTGCTTAGGAACATGTTTTAGTGGTGGACTTGGCAGTGGTAAGTTAATGGTTGGACTCGATGATGTTAATGGTCTTTTCCAACCTAAACGATTCTGTGCTTCTCTCTCTTCTGGTAATCTGCTCTCTGTAAGAGGCCTCTTTTGCACGCAGTATTGCATTTCACTTTTCGATAGATGTAAACATCAGGTTTGCCCTAGTGACTCTTTGCAGGCTGGGTTTACACATGCCACTCCGGACCCTTTATTGCATAGGATCAGCTAAGATAGACATGCTCAGGTGCTGTCTAAATCACTTCACAAGAGAAATTGCATGTAACTTTTTCTGCTACTTTTCCCCTTCCTCTGGCCTGTGGGAAGATCCCCTGGACCTTCTGAACATCTGGCTGAATCCCTGATTCTCCGAAGAATATTTTGTGGGATCCCTTGCACTGACTGTTAAGCAGAGGTGGGTGGAAGTCCAGTAGGTGTTCTGAGGTGCTGACCAGGCTCCCAATTCTACCATGCCACATGCCTGTAGCATTCAAGACATGTACTACTCACTTTAGACAGAGTTTATTTTGGCAGTTCATAGGTTTAAATGACAGATATATGTAATAATGGAAGTAAAGTTGTAATCTCTGGAAGCTCAATGAGTGAATTGATTAAATGAATTGAAGCAGTTTCTCATGTGATGATCATGACTTCAGATGAAGTGAAACGCAGACTACAGAGGGCAGACATACAGGGTTTTTTAAAATGATGACTGAGATCCGTATAAGACCACCTAGAGTAAAGAAGGGGATCACATTCACTCATGCTTTTTAACACAGAGTGATCAGTACAGACTAGTCAGATGACCAAAAGAAAAGGCCTGGGAGTTATATATGTGACATTGTAGCAGGAATAACAAATCCCTTATTTTGGTCTTCCAAACAGAAATTTTAACAGTAAGCCAGGCTTGGAGCCTACAGCCTGAAACTGAGAGAACCTTGAGAATGAGAGCACAGAGTGACTTCAGCAGAAAATACAGAAAGGAAAATTGAAAGAGGAAAAATAATTGCTGTGAGGACTCAGCAGACACAGTTGTGGCTGAGAAAGGGTTTAGTTCAGACTATTAGCCACGTTTCACCATGTGGTTCTGTGGAACATACCTGAGCCTTGCTTGTTGAGAAGAGCAGTTAGTAGGAAGGTATCCAGCATCCTTTGCCGCAGCTCTTGTAAAATTCCCATGGTAATGTTGTATGGCTTAACCAGGAAATTCTGGGGTGCACTTGAAAACTTCAAGAGCTACAGGCACGTCACTGTGAGATTCGCAAGTGAGAGGTCTTAAAATGAGAGATCCTTTCTCGGTAGAAGTACAATTCTTAGTAAAGACAGCTAGTACATGTAGGAGTAGGTTCTGGAAAGGATGAGCATATCTGTCACTGTTAGTACAAGTTATTCAGTCTGCTGCAGCAGGATTAGAAGGCACTAGCTGTCCCTCTATCACACAATGCAGAATTAAAAAACCCTGTCCTTAAACCTCATTTTAAACCACATTGCAGGAAACAGGTCCCTCCCCAAATCTTTTACCTACTACAAAATTTTATTGAGAGCAAACCAACATTTTCCATGTCATATTGTCACTATGTCTGCTCAGGTAGTTTGATCTTGGGCATTACTGTCCTCTTCTAAAACTGACCCTTCCTGAATATTAGCAACCTGTTTTCATAGAATCTTTTCTCTATTATCAGGCTTTTCTTTCTTTCTTTAATAATTTCTAAGTTTTGAGGGTTCTAGACATTTTGGAAACCTGAAAATGTTCCACATCCCCTCGTAAGAGATGTAAGTATTGTCATTGAACATGGTGCATGGGTCCGGTGTGCCTCTTGGACCACTGTTTGTAAACTGTGCTTTACATTCTTCTCTTGGATTTACCATTTCCTGCTTTGACTCTCAAAATTGCTTCAATTTATTTCTTTACCTGAGTTTGGAAGTTCGTCAGACATTAATAGCACAGAGGTGTTTTGTGACTCTGCCATCCAGCAGGTTGAAGTAAATTATTCTGTCTGTGTGGCCTTTTTCTTGTTGCTGATATCCAGGGTGATGAAATGACAAGGTGTTTAAGCCCAGCAAATTGTGCCTATACTTGCACATAAGCATGGGGTGTCAGGCAGAGATCCTATCTCACTAGCCAGTGAT